AAAAATGGGAGTATGTAAATAAACATGACAAAGTACCAGAGATCACATCACCAGTCCCAGCAAGTTTAAGCTAACTTCTAGACCTCACTGCAAGAATTATAGTGAGGTCACACTGCCTAATCTAGTAATAAGGTTATTAACTCCTTCTATAGTTAATAGTTATAAGCTTGTCTTGCCTAGATTGGAGGGCATAGTTTAGACCAAATTACAGAGGTGCTTAAGAGCAGGAAAGAGCTAGAGATATGCTGTGCTCTATCTTGTTAAGACAGGAAGAGAATTGAGCTCAGAAGGTCTGCAGGCAGATCCCACTCCAGCAGGCAGGAGGCTGCTGGAGCAGGCCCTGCTTCCCCACACAAGCGCACAGCTCCGCAGAGAAAGAATCAAGATTACAGTAGATCCCACTTGTTTCAAGAGTATGACACCAAAATGACAGGTCATGTAGTACTTCACCTCATTGTAAGATCTTCCAGCACAGAGAGAGATTGGCACTCTCTGTCATCTTAAACCCAGCAGCTTTCCATCTGCAAAGCATAATGAGCCAGCAATCCCTCTGGAGCTGCAGAACGTAGCTGCTGCTGAAACATGATATCCCCCACCAGGCTCTTGGCCTCGTGGAGCTGAAGGATATCTCCTTTTCCCAAGTTCAGAACTCAAAAGGATTTGTGAGTTGTGATCCCCTGCCTATAACAAAGGGTAGTTGCTCCCAGCTGCTGCTCAGCCTGCAGACATGGCCCCCTTGTTTTAGTTTATACCTCCTACTACAGGCACTGATTACACATACGCTGCTGTCTGATGGTGGTGAAGTTTCTAAAACTGCCCTTCAGGGCACCTTGTCATGTCCAATTGCAACTAGACGTGTTTGTCTAATGTGTGTCCGCAGCCTTCATGACTGCTCATAGTGCCTCCCTGCTTTCTGTGCCTTGCAGCCTTTTCCCAGAGCTCTTGAAGAAGGGAGACATGAGGAAGTGAAAATGGAGAGGAACTGTTGCCTTTTTGCAAGTCCTGAATTGCACAGCTTTCTCCATTTCCACTGCTCCTAAGAGAAGCTGTGCTGGATGCTGTAGCCATGATGAACAGAGAAGACACTTCTGAGCCCGTGGTGGTATCTGTGTTTGGCTGTTTCATTTCTCAGGGACGACAACTAACCAATGGCATAAGATACAGCAGGAAACATGAGAGCTAAACTTCCCATATCTTATGGGGAATACTTAATTATAGTATCCACTATAACTAATAATAACTAATAATAGTAAGCACTTAATTAAAATACATAATTAAGAAAAGCCCCACAGGAAGGTCAGCACTATTTTGTATGTGTGAAAACTGGAGAGGTATAATGACAACGGCGATATAAGTGGACTTGATAATGAAAAATGACAAGCATGGACACAAAACCAGGTTTTTCACTCTTGGGACTCTTTTCTGGATTGTACTTCATCACAGCACATTTTAGCAGAGGATTTGTTTGACACTTTTTATGTGTTTCCTGCAGTCATTAGATACATCTTTGTGTGTAGTCAAAAAAATGTGGAGAATCATCTTCCTTTCTTGTGACAATATTTCTCTCTCTCTGAAGAAAAACCTAACACTTTGATATATATTTATCTTTGATATATATTTATATATTTACAATGTCTAAACTTTTTAGCAAACAACTAGATTTTTATATTCTTTTTCTTTTATGTCACATAGATTCTTATTTTGTTTTTTAAAGGATTGGCATCACTTTTAAAAAATATTCAAGTAGAGTATCCTGATTCATGGCATAAGTATCAGTAAAGCAACACTACATCCTTATATTAATAATAGAATGAACAGGCAGCAGCTATATCAGGAATTGGCTGCCAATATCTTGTATAATTGCAGGGAAATCCCAGATTAAATATAGGGTTTCCTTCATTACCCATGGACTTTGGATACATTACTACATTTAATGGGAGACAATACAAATACTACTTCATAGTTTTGTGGAGAGCTTTTTTTTTTTTTTTTTTTAAATGTGCTGCTCTTGATCTTTACCAGCTGTTGATTCAAATTTGGCATAAGTCTATTTCTTTGTGTACAGCTTGCAAACAATGCGGATTGTAAAATGAGTAGGGCACAAACCCAATTTCAATTGCAGGCTGGGATTCCCCAATGCTTTCACAGGGAAGCTTGCTCGATAACTGTGTTTGCTATTGGGTGAGACATGGAGACCAAGCCCATTGTATTTAACCTTTGACTACCAGAGTACCACGACAGCTCCAAAGCCAGGCCACTAAAGCAAGGAAGAAAACATAAATCATAATATGGAACACAAGCTTGTTTTTCCTTCTTACCACATTCAACCCACAATTGTGTATTTTCATGCTGTTTAAATTTTCATGTAATGCTTGCATAAAGCTCCAGTGTCTTTCTGTTCCTTTCTTTCTGGGTAGGAATACAACAATTTGTGGTGTAGTAATGAAACCTGGATATTATACAAAGCAAGGATGCCTTTCTGAATACTCATAGTTAACTAAGAATGATTCATTAAGTTGTAATAGGATCCATAATTTAAACCAGCTCAGTGTGAAGGTTTAGGTCATATACTTCAAAACAGTTGTGTCACTGTTTCCTTCTTAAGATACATAACCAGTGCTTTACTCTGCTAAAGAACACCTGAAGGACATTATAACTGTTTAAAAATATTTGAGAGACACAGTCACCTTAAAATCTAATCCACTGTTCAGACTCAGAAGTTCCAGTTATTAAACCTGCTCAGAACCCTCTAATACTCATGGTTTGAAAAATGCAGAAAAATGCAAACAAATTGTATTATTAAGAACAATACAATCTCAGGCTTTATGTTGCAGATGAGAAGCTCACCATAATATTGATTTATAAAAATAGAAATGACAACTTCTGGAAGTTAAAAATTTACATTAACTTATTTCATAAAGCAAATTTCTAGGCAAAAGGTAGTTCGGTTGATGTTGTCTCTTTTCAAAACGCTAGTTTGTGACCTACTGTGTAGGAGGCAATGCCTGTGTACTCAAAGATAAATAATAGATTCCAATTAGTGTCCTTATAAAGCCCATTGATTTAGGAATTATGGGGAAGATAAATGGCTTTTTATTCCCATCCCTTTTAAAACAACTCAGATAGGAGTGAAACTGAAGCCATAAATTGTGGTGGGTTATGTAGGAATATTGAAATTATTTCCAAAGGAACAGAAAGAAGGAGGTTTTTTTCTAACGATCAGTCATGAGACTCTAAAGTTCATGTGGGTAAAATGCTTTACACTGGACTGAAAATGCTAAACTGGCAGTAATTTGTCCTGATGGGATCATTATTGTTTCCAGTGAGAAAACATTTTTGTCTTAAAAAGTCGTTAATGCATTCAAGATTCTGCCGAATGCAACTAGCAGAAACATAACACATAGAGCAGGAACTGATTCCTATATTTTACCATCGCAAACGACCTTTATATGTGATTCTGTTATACTGGAAATAACCTGATTCCTCTGTAAATTAACAAAAATACACATTTTAATTATCCAAACTACCGCACTGGAAAAAAAGTTCAGACAACCTTTTGATGGCAAAGAAGGGATTCACTCTACCTAATGACTAGACTTTGTTTACCTATTTGGCACCTGGTGAATGAGTCCGCCCAGTACCTGAGATGCAACTGAGAAAGATGCCCTTGAACATCCCCAGGGGAAAACCATGCC